GACCCAGATGCTTAATAATATTATCTGACGTCTTACCTGTCCATAGAGACCAAGATTATTCATGTTGATCTGATAATAGTGTAGCTACTCTTTATTTATTTCGGGTATTTCCTTACACTGACAGAAAAGTGGGTTGACATTGATGTTGACATCCCTGTTTTAGGCGAACATCATGTTTTAGGATTTAATGAGTTTCTAAACTTAATACTGAAGTAATGATTCTAAATGATATTTTAACTATCATTGGGTCCTGCAGTAGATATCAGGACATTATCAGTCCATAATGTAACATATCATTGAACCATGAGACCGCCTTTGACTCCTACTTTAAAGAGCATTCATCTGACGGCCATATCCTCTGCTTTTTCTGACTAATGCATTAGCCCCACAGACCTAAAAAGGCAGATAGGATGGTGGCTGGACTAGACTCTATCTTATTTAACTCCAGTTCTAGAAAATAAAATCATCTTTTTGAAGTTTGCCTATAAGACAGCTCCATCTTTATCTAACCTCAGCTGTTCATTTTTAATCTTGGATCCTGGTCACCCCCCATTTAAATCTTAACATCTTCAACTCCGCCACCTCCACAGTTATAAATCACCCCTGAATCTTATTTTCAGCCTGCCTGCACTCTCGCGTTCAACTCTCTCATGCAGTGTCTTTTGCTTTGGATAGCTGACCCCGACTATTTAAACTCATACACCTTCACTACCTCTACTCCTTTCACCTTCAGTGTTCCCCCGTCTCCCTCTCATTCATACACATGTATTTAGTCTTACATTTACAATGACTATTCTATTCTATTCTATTTTTGCTTTTACTGTCTTTCATTCATTTTCTCTCCAGTGCATATGCCCACCTCTCCAGGCTCTCTGTCACCTGCTAAAATCTGTAACAGGGCTATTTCATTACTTCTGAACAGAAGACCTACTGAAAGCTAAAATAAATCCCTCTCAGCCTAACAAAATATGTTTGTTTTTTCCCATGAGGTTTTAGCTCCTCTCTGCTTGTTAAATGCCTGCAGACTTACCCTTGTCTGCAAGCCCAGATAATTCCTCTGACATTTCCAATTTTGTATAGAGTTTAAGTTTAAGTGCTGGAGTGCCCCTTAATTCCCTAATACATCTACCCCAAAGGTTTCTAGAAATAGATTTCCTATGCACAACTTAATTTAAGCACTCTTTCCACCCTCTAAATTCCGCCGAATTGTCAAGCGCGACATCCTTCCTCCGTCTCCAACAGTTTAAACATTTGGCAAAGATTTCAAATATTTAAACAAGCCAAGAAACGTTCAATCAAACATTAACCAGGCACTTTGTATAATGACATCACCAACAGCGAAGTCTCCTTTTAGCTTCATAAGAACTGACGCCTATGGCTTTTTTCACCGGTATTACTGCCACAGGACTTTATTTGACGTTTTGATGTTAGCCACACAATCGCAAACATATTCAATGGGACAGATGTTACAGCTGTTTATCCTCCTGTGTGTTTAGGCGATGCTTCTTTGTGGTGAAACAAATGTAAAGTGATCCCTTCTCTACTTTTTATCTATCTTTCACTATGAAGATGTCCTCTCCCATTTTTATAAGTGTGTGTTGGTTCACGGGTTCACAGGCTGGCAGCTTCATAAAAACATCTACAGAAACAGTTTATGCTGCGTTGTATGCTTTACGCTTTTATTTTGCTCTTTACTTCTCTAATTGAATCATGTATTTACACAGAGACAAACGTATATTTCTTCTCTCTAACGCTGTCCAAGTGGGACCACCCTGGAGACAACTTTAAATAAACGATTTTGAAACTGCCTTTTGTTTTTGTCCCACAGAGACAGAGCAGTCTTCCGGCCAGCTCTTTCTAATTTTTCCTCCTCCTTTTAGCCTGCCAGCCACTTACTCTTTTCTTGTTATTCCCAATCCAACTGTTATCCATCCACGTATGTGTTCCTCTTCTGCTTTTCGACACCTTGGACGCTCAAGCCTTGTCTTTGCATTGCCTTTCCAAATCCCTGTTTCAGATGAAATATATTAGAAGATGTCCTATTCGACGAGAGCTCAAACTAAAGAGGTGTAAAATGGGAGATGTTATGAGACAAAACAGAAACCATAAGGTGGAGGAAGATGGGGAATGACAAGAAAGAAAATGAAAGAAGTTAACATTTTTGATACATCTTCATTACATTTTCTGTAATACGTGATATGAAAGAGATGATGGAAAGAGGAGGTCCGCCTGTTGAACTTTACTTTCCATTGGAGGACGCTCTCCGCCCCAGAGCTCCACATCTGACTCTCTGGGCCTATTCTTTCCTTACCTTTTAGCAAATTACTGAAAGAACAAAGGATGGATGAAATGAAGAGAAGATAAAAGTATGAAATTAGAAGCAACTGAGGAGCTCTTAATTTATATAATCGGACAACAAGGACTTTTGCACAAGTCTACTGCATGAGGATTTATTTTCACCACTTTTTCTCTTCTCCAGGTACGTTTAATCCATTCAGTCATCATTATTTGACTTTGATTCTATTTTGTTTTTTTCTGGTTATGGTTTTTGTACCAAACGATCAGGAGGACAATAGTCTGCATTACTTTGCCTCATTTTCTGAGCAGCAGTTTTAAGGTTCCTTGTGTACATTTGTCCTCCTGGAGATTTTCACCCTACAGTACTTTCCCTCTGGTACATGCATATTACTGTTTTTTTCCATTGGAAATTGTACACAAAAATGAGCTTTCATTCTTTTAAGAGTGCATAATGTAAAGTTTAAAATGCCTGAATTTAACTTGTGAGGGTTTAGCTCAAAGGCAGACCCTATAGATTTAGATATGATTTTTTATGTTCTAATCATTTCATTTAAAAGTGAATCTAAGAAGCAAATGCACATCTGCATCTGTAAAGTCTGCAGGTGCTGGGCAGCAATGATTAACACAATGTTAAAAAACATTTGCAGGCTTCAGAGTCATTCACTGGTTTATCTTTTATATAATAATTTTGTCACATATTTTACCATAACTATGAAGTTTCAAAGAAGATAGCTGCTTGGGGAGTTTTTTTTCTTTTTTTAAAATCCAGGCTGACAGCCATGTTTTATCTAACTGTCTTATGATGATTAAGAGTGGAAAGACCTCTCTCTGCTGCACATGTTATCCAATGGGAGCTCATCCGTCTCTGGTTTTTATAAGGAAAGACACTTTTGGCCAAAATGAGAGGATCTGCTGAGTAAAATATGACATTATTTAAGACATTTATCTTTTATAAAAATTACTTTCATTAAAGTAAAGGATGATATTTTTAATGTATGTTTTTTCTGATGTCGAACAGTCAAGACTAAATAAACACTTTTTGTGAGATTTAATTTGGGGCTTTTAGAAATGCATTAACAGGAACAGTTCAGAGGAGAAAAGAAAGTGTGATAGAGAAGATGAATGATGGGCAGACTCAAATCCAGGTTGCTTCTTAAAGGACTTGAGTTTCTTGTATGTGATGTGCAAGCTCTGCCAGGGGAGCTCCACAGATTTGCTGAGAGAAAAATAAATCATTTTATCCCCGGTGATTCATCAGATGAAACAAGCTGAAACTAACTTTTAAGCCAACTTGGCTAAAGGTCCTGTAAGGACTCTGGATGAACTCAGAACAACTACAGAGATTGTATGACAACAAGTTTATTTCCATAAAAAATGAGTGTGATAAGTTTCAAAGCTCTGGGAAAAGTTAGTACATTCAAGTTAAGGGTGAAACAGTTTTGGCCAACTAATAAATAGCTTGTTTGGCCAGTTGTTCTTAAGCAGAACATAACAAATTCACTAATGTCATAACGCCTTATTTATCACACTGTTTTATCTGTTCCTGCCTGGCTTTGAAATATCAACACTGTTTTTAGTCAGTCTTTTTACTTCTTTAAGCCCCTTCAAAGTGAACACAGTCCAGCCGTTTTTTTAAACAGGACGTGTCGCACTGATCATGTTTATCAGGTTAAGACAACCGTCTACATCATGTTCAACACAACACGTGTCAGTGGTGTGTTAAATAGCCGCGCGCGCTGGCAGGGTTCATCTTAATGCTGTGCTCCATCTTTGAAGTAACACACACGGTCGTGTACTTAACTTTGTTGAGAGTGTCACATCCTTTTAGGGAGGAGATGAAGATGGATACAGTTGCCTCTACGATACAAGAGCACATTGTTTATAGGATCGGGATTTCCAAAGTCTCTCTGCCTGGATTCATTTCTGCAGACGTTGGCCATGTTTTCATCCCTAGAAGTCACAGCTATCTCCTTTAGTTTTTAGTGTGCGTATGTGTGTGTCTTTGTGTGTGTGTGAGTTTGGAGAACAAAGCTGTTTGGAACTATTTACAATACAGTATCCAAGGCTGAGTCCAAGATAAAAGGTTAAGGCATCAGTCTTTAAATTACTGCCGGGAGGCTGTAATGAAGAAGCCCTTATATTACTCAACAATCTGAGGGGGAAAAAAAGGTTTAAAAAAGTAGATGGAATGAGTCTGGACATAATCCTAAAAAGCTTTTGCCATTTAGAAAAGACAAGAATCTGAAAGATTTATTTTCCTCACTACGTTAACAAAGTAATAAATGATTAAAAATGCCTTAAGTGCTACAGTATTTTTTGAGGTACGCATCAAGAAATAGTACTTTACTTCCGCAACTGCTTTAATTCTTTGTGGCATGGATTTAGCAAGGTACTAAAAACATTATTCGCAGATTTTGGTCCACATTGACATGATAGCATCACACAGTTGCTGCAGATTTGTCAGCTGCACATCTTTGTGAACATCCTGTTCCACCACATCTCAAAGGCGCTCTATTGGATTGAGATCCGGTGGTAGTGGAAGACACCTGAGTACAGTGAACTCACTGTCATGTTCAAGAAACCAGTTTGAAACGATTTGACCTTTGTTGCCTGGTTTATTATCCTGCTAGAAGTAGCCATCAGACAATGTGTACTCTGTGGTCATAAATGGACATGGTCAGCAACAATAAACTATCATCTTTCAGTACTAAGGGGCCAAAAGTATGCCAGGAAAATCCGTTCCACACCATTACATCATCACCACTATCACATTTGGTACAAGGCAGGAAGGATGGATCCATGCTTTCATGTTGTTTACACTAAACCTGACCTTACCAGCAGAAACTGAGACTAATCAGACCAGACAGCACAATTTTGGTGAGAGGAGTAGCAATCAGTATGGACTTCTGCTGCTGTAGTCAATCTGTTTCATGCTTCAGTATGTTATGCATCCAAAAAAAGCTCTTCTGCATGCCTTGACTTGTTCTTTTTGAGTATTTTTGAGATATTGTCTTCCTATCAGCCCAAAGTAGTCTGGTCAGTTTCCTCTGGCCTCTGACATCAGCAAGACATTTTCTTTTTTAGAACTGCCACTCACTGGATATTTTCTCGTCTTTTGGAACATTCTGAAATGGTTGCATAGGAAAATCCCAGTAGATCAGCAGTTTCTGAAATACTCAGACTACTTCAGGCAACTTTTGTTGTGATTTGGCGCTATATATATAAAATTGAATTGAATTGAATTGAACTTCATCTGGCACCAGCAGTCATACCACGTCCAGTCACTCCAATCACTTTTCTTCCCTATTCTGATGCTCAGCTTGACCTGAACAGGCTGTTCAAATGCAGAGAGTTGCTGCCACATGATTAGCTGATTAGATATATTAATGTTAATGAGCGGCTGAACAGGTGTGCCTAATGAAATGTCCAGGTGACCGTATTTCTCTTTATATAGTCCACTTGCTTCATTATTATTGTGGGTTTTTTAACTGAAAATAACAGCAAGCAGTTGTTTTATTCATACATTAACAGTGTGGTAACACAATCCCAGTTCCAATAACTAGCTTTCTAAAGGATTTTGCATTGTTGTCATGGAAATAATACCTTGAAAGTGTGAAAGCAGATGTTAGACTGGACTTCCAGTTGAGATTACTACTATAGTAAA